TCTGGGACTCTACACCATGTGACCCTTAGAACTGAAAAAGCTTCTCGGATGAGAGGTGAAACATCTACAAGCAACTTAAAGAAGTCCAGACGCTTTTCTTTCCAAGCTCCTTAGACTAAAGCAGGAAACTGTGCTTTGTAACAAAGGAAACTGAAGGGGGTTAATATGGTGCAAGTGTTGCCAAAGGCCACACCTTTTATTTATAGATAACAGGTGTCCGATGTGAGCAACTGCTCTGTTAAAGTTGTGTCATGACTAAAAATTAAATTTCAAATTGGTGTTTAACATTTAATCATTTCCACTTCTTGTCAGCTGTTCTCTGCTGGGTGACCACTAAGAAGGAGTTTATTGGCCTGGAGGGTGGCTCCCTCACTGTCCAATGTCGATATGGTTCTCACTATGCTGACCATGTCAAATACTGGTGTCATGGGGGGACGAGAATTTACTGCGCGATCTTGGCTCGAACTGACAAGACCTCCTCGGCCAATCAAGACAAAGTGAGCATTGTTGACGACCCAGCTGGGTTGATGTTCACAGTGACCATGAACGACCTGAAAGAGACGGACTCTGGGTGGTACTCGTGTGGTGTGGAATTAGCATTAGGGGCTGATGACATTGCTTACACTGAAGTAAAAGTGTTTCATGGTGAGTAATGGAGAAATTTTGAGATGATAAACATTTATTAGCCCACAGTTTTAAAGAAGTTTGTTGCATTTTCACGATCTCTGCAGGTGTGTCAGTTGTGAACAGCATTGTGAGTGGGGAAGAAGGAAGTAGTCTCACGGTTCAATGCCTTTACACTCAGAGACTGAGGTATTTGGTTTTCCTTCAGAGGATTTTATCCACATTTTATCCTTTAAAACCCTTAGAACTGTCCTTAAAGAAGCACTGATCACACTTCAGTAAATGTGGGAATTTGTCCAGAAACTTTCATTGGTATCAAACGCTGGTGGACAGTGAGCATTCACTGACTCTCCTGTGACTGCCTGTCAACAGACTAAGTGAGAAGAAGTGGTGTCGGAGCGGAGACCCGAGCTCCTGTCTGTCGACAGGTTCTGAAGGGAGTTATGAAGATACTTCAGTGACCATCAGCGATGACAGAACTGGGGCTTTCACTGTAACCTTAAAGAAGCTGCAGATGAGAGATGCTGACTGGTATTTATGTTCTGCAGGGCAGCAGCAAGTAGCCGTGCAGGTTCAGGTCAGACCACACGGCTCTACTAGTAAGTTGATAAAGAGCCTTTCATATTTTAGACATAAAAAACATAACAAATTATATTTTTGAGCTTTGCTGTCTAGCTGACTCGAAACTGTGATAATTAAACTTCATTATGGATTTTCTGTGTGCTGATATCATCAAGGATGATTTTTTTTTCATCACAGGGAATCTAGAGTTAGTCAACATCCTTATGTTGAATAACTCTAGACTTCCCTCTCTAGA